TTATTGGAATCAACAGGTGGGTTGGCAAATTTCAAGGAAAGAAAAGTAGAGCAGATTCAATAATATATACAGTAGTGCAAAATAATAAGTAAATGAGAATCATTCATTTAGTTGGCAATTTATTTCCCCCCACAATTTCTGCTCTTAGAACAGTGTTTCTCAACCTTGGTAACTTGAAGATGTCCAGACTTCAACTCCTAGAATTCCCCAGCCAGCGAATGCTGGCTGGGGAATTCTGGGAGTTGAAGTCCGGACATCTTCAAGTTGCCAAGGTTGAGAAACACTGTTCTAAGAGCAGAAATTGTGGGGGGAAATAAATTGCCAACTAAATGAATGATTCTCATTTACTTATTATTTTGCACTACTGTATATATTATTGAATCTGCTCTACTTTACTTTCCTTGAAATTTGCCAACCCACCTGTTGATTCCAATAAGCTACTTACCCCAGGGAATAAAAATAGTAAAAACCAAAATTGAAAAGCCACCTTACTTAGTTTTGCTGAGCAGTTTTAGAATGGCCTTCACAATTTTAAAAGAGGACAATTATAATTTTACTCATAACTATTCTAGGTATCTATAGCAAACTAGCTGATCAGTTAGTTCTCTCTTAAGATAGCAAAAAAAAAACCATACATATCTTTTACATTAAAACTTCTACATCATTAAAATCATTTTTAATTAATTACCACAGTACAACCATGATATCAAGTTTGACAATTATAAAGGTCTGAGCCAATTCCAGCACTGTACAAAAAGAATTTCTCCAAATTAGTCAAATTTCTATGGTTTTGTCAATAACATACAAATAATTCCTAATTTATGTAGTATCAACATTTTTTTTCTATTTCTACTTGTCCCTTTCATAATACTAAAAATCCCTTAGACATTTTCGACAAATTTAGTGTCAACACTAAAGTTGGCCAAACTGTGGTCATTTTCTTTTTTGTAGTTTCCTCTAGGGAAGTTTCTCTTCTCATTGCTTCAGGGCTAACACAGCCTGAAGCGAAGGTGCCAGGGAGTGGGGTGTAGAGATAGTTGGGGGGGTTGTAGCAGTGGTGGGATTCGGTTCACCGACAAAAGGGTGCCCGACAAAACTGCGGTGACAAAACCGCGAGTTCTAAACCGCGCCGACGAATGAGCGCTGAAGCGAGTTGATGACTCGCGGTTTTTGTGCCGCCGTTTTGTCGGCGTGCTTTTGTCGTGCGCACATTTGTTGGGTCACGGTGGGATTCAACTAATTTAACAACCAATGCTTCTAATGACCGGAGGGGTAGTCATGTGACTGAGTGGGCATAGCCAACTCGATATCATTCACAGCAAAGAGGCAGGAGCGGCAGACCATTCACACCAGCGAAGTGGTGGCAGGTGCAGGCTGTTCGCACTGGCAAAGAGGCAGTGATGTCAGTCCGTTCATGCTGACAGAGGCGAAGACAGGTAGCTGGGCCATGTGGGATGCAGCAGAATGGTGGAGAAAGGCTCGGCAGGGAGCTGGGCCACATGGGAGGCTGGGGTGAAGGCAGGCAAGTGGGCTGGGCCGCAGGGGCCATGTGGTTGAGGCAAGCAAACTAGCAAGCGAGGGAACCAGAGAGCAGCTGCTATGATGCGGCTAAGATGACATAAGGAGTGACTGAGAGGAGAGGGGCGGGCATGGCCATACAGTGGTGCGATTAGCTGGCTCTCTAAACTGCGCAAAAATGTAACAACTGGTTCACCCAAAGCAGTCCAAACTGACTGAATCCCACCTCTGGGTTGTAGCCTAAATAAGATTGTTTCCCTTGGGAATTAAGGACATTGGTGCAGGTGCTCAATGAAGACTGAGGTCACTTAGCAACTGGACTGTATGCTGATTGGACCATGTGACTGAAGACTCTGGAGGGAAGCGACAAAGTTTTACTTTTAATTGGGTGCAAAACCGGCGGGAACTTAGAGCTGGTTTTTCACCAGGAACATGCCAATTTGATATGTCTCAATAAAATGTTCTTCAAGGAAATTGCCAGCCTCAGAGTTCTTATTAAATGAGATGTAATACTTGGAACCTTGACATTTAGTGAATTATACTGCCACCTATATAATACATCAAAGAAAAGAACATCAATTTATTCCAGTCACATACATATGCAATTTGTATATTTATATTTAGTTCTTCCCTGGTGTTCTTTAATGGCCCCATTCTTCCTTTAATTACTATTCCATAAACCTCAAGTGAAAGCTATTGCAAAGTAAATTCTAAAACGCAGTCAAGTTAATAATATCATATTGTGTAAACCATATATTATATAACATATTTACCTTTTTGAACATCCCTATCAAGTACTTCATCGAAAAGCTTTTCTTGAACTGTTGGCGGCAAATCTTCAATATCTGTAAAGGAAGACAATTGATTATTACACATCTGACAATAACAATTCACTTAAATGTACAACTTTCTCTACATTAAAAACTGCTTCACACAATGTGATGAACACTTTTCAGAACAAGCTCTTCAGAACACCATCATTTCTTCATGTGGTTATTTTTCTTTCAAATCTAAACTTGTCAAGTGATACCTGAGGTATCAATGCAATAGTTCCCAACACGTATACAAAATCTTGTTGTGAACCAATACTAAGTAATGAACTCAATAATGACTAAAATGTAAAACAAAGTTGCAGAACATAGGGCCAGAAAAATATAAAATATTTTTATACTAATATATTAGTTATTTTTATACTAATATATACAATTTAAATTAGATTAAATCTAGATTTTCTGATGGCTCTACTTAAATTTTAAAACGCAACTTGTAAAAGACTTTGCATTATTGCTATAAAAAGACAGTGTTTTGATTATTCCTTTTGGAATGCCAGTTCCAAAACCTGAAATATTACTTCTTTTATAGACATATTATTTCTTGCTAAATCCATTCAGGGTATATATTTACTGAACAACATAATGTACAACTGAATTTGACAATGCAAGATTCTTGTATAAATCTATGTACAAATGTTATTTGTTAAAGATGAAAAATATAAGTCCTTAAAATGTAAGCTGCAATCATATTAGTTACGCATTATAAAATAATCCCAAACTTTACCATTTGTTCTACCTGAATTCATGTTATGCATTGAATAGTAAATATATTTTCTATTTCAATTATATAAGATATAGAGAAGTTTGAACAGAGTAGAACTAATTAAAAGTATTTTTAGTTTATATGACACCCATGAAATAGTAACATATTTGTGCAGCAAACATAATAAATAACACAATCCTGTTAATTAGAACTTCTAGACAAAATGAGTTTAGGAAGGTAGGCTTGAAAATTCTATTAAGACACGCAATAGAAAAAGCTTCTTATTAATTCAAGTAACATTATTCTTGCTCCCTTCCCTGGCCCTTCTGACTTAGCAAAAGAGATGCACCAAAAAATAATTATTTTCACTTAGTAGTGTAGTCAAATTGTTTTGCATTACATACTCCAATGAATCAGAACAAATTAAGTATAATTGGAGAATTGGAGACAAGAGGTGTTTTGCTTTCAAAGCCTCTTCCAAAAACTCTTGCAACAAAAATATAGAACTCAAAGATAATGAGTTTATATTGATGAAATTACTTTTTAGAAATAATCTGAAAGCACAAAAATGAAACGCTTGCTATAGTCATAATACAGGTTTCAAATAGAATGCCTGTTTAGGCTCTGTGGATTGGGGGGGGGGAGATACGTTCATAAGAGTGGGCTTGCCATGGAGTATCTGAAGAAAAGTTTCAAATGAAAGTAGTTCTCATCATCTCAATCTACATGGAATAACAGACAAGAAGATTGGAACTCCAATGAAGAGCAGGATTAACAAACAACTAATAGAAGAGGATGCATGAGGGAGGGGGCATGTTTCTAAATAACTAATTATATGGATATATTTTATATGTTATACCTTGAGTTGTCAGTGCATTATATGTACTTCCTAGTCAACGGGATACAGACCAAAAAAAGAACGTTAGCTTGCAAACTAATAATTAGATTAGAAAGCATGACATTCTGTGGATTTATCTGTTGATTTAAATTATTTATATGATCATCCATCTTACCTTAGTGACTCTGGGTAGTACACAAGCACTAAAGCAATAGCTCCAGCCAATGACCATGACAAAGTCAAGGTAAAGCAATACATTTCAATTGTAAAAAGCTAAATCAGCAGCAAAACTCACCTAACTTCCTGGCCCCAAATAAATGCCTGGGGAAACAGCCTGTTCTTTGGAGTCTTATGAAGGACTAACATGGCTAGTACTATTCAGATGTCTAGGGATTGCAGTTCCATAGAACAGAAACTGCCACAGAAAGGGTGCGACTCGAGTCCAAAGAGATGGCATTGATTTAATAGAAGGGATCCACAACACACCCTCTCTACTAGATCTAATCAGCCAGCTTGAAACAATGGTAGAGAGGCAAACATATAGATAGCTAGGGATGGTTAGGACAGTGGTTAAAAAACTCTTTGGGCTTTTTTTTCATCCTTTTGTTCTTTTTGTTTTATGAGGTTGATCTTTCAGGTGGTTATATTCCCCTTTCTCTTTGACATACATTGTTTTCTTTTTATTCTTTAATTGTAAGCTATTCAGAGACATTGTGGAGTTGGTCTGTCTAAAAATTTTAATAGTCAGGGTTAGAAAACAGACCAAATAAATACACGTTGACTGATAATGCTACATGGAATATAGGTAAAGCTGTGGCTAGGAACTTTTCCCCCCTCTGCTTTGTAAATAACGAGCCCAAGGAAAATCTGGGCAAAACTATGACTAAGGAGGAGGGTTTTCCTTCATAGATATAAAACTAAGCCCTGTTTTCTATCTTAAAAGGGTCTGGTTAACCTTTTTTCTAATAGGTCCACCCTCAGTGACTAAGAATTGACTGAAATTATGCCCCTATCATGAGCAAGGAATGCTGCAAGTGACATGAATTTGAGTACAACTGACAGCCTAGTCTATTATTTTTTGCCTTATTGAATACTGTTGTGTTAATCCTAGGTTGACAAAACTATGATAGTCATAGGACCATTTATTGATGTGAAGGACCTGGAGGGGGGGGGAGAGTAAACTCAGTGTGTTATCTAATATAGAAAATAATGCAGAGATAGTACAGCTTTTGGGGGGTTGTATGAAAAAATAATTCCAATCTCAATTTGAAGTACAGAGAAATAGATAGAAATATTTGAATCTGTTTCTATATTAAGATATCTTATTATTAATTAGTGATGCTCAATTGTCATATCAGGCTCTTAATCTTATTGCAGTAAAGTTTACCATGTCTTCATTTGTAAGAAATCAACAGCAACTAAATCCCCAAATCAGGGAACCTGACAGTTCATAGCCATGGGCTATGAAAGGTAGTGACTTGAAATATAAATGGAGTAAATGATAAAAGTGTAACTTTGACTTACTCAATTTGGACACTGAAAAATACATGAGAATAATTTAGAAAGGTGTCTTGTTTGTTTTGAATATGTGGTTTAATTATAAGCCTATTTATAGGTACACATAATAAAAAAATAATTTTAAAAACATGATTGATTGATTTAAAATGAAAGACTGACAGAAGTATTTAAGGATAAAAGGATAGAGATGGAGGAGGAGGAGGAGGAGGAGGAGGAGGAGCTACACGAAAAAATCAGGTGACCCTCATTTAACAAACTTCCATTCATTCAT